CACGGTCAGAAGAGAACGAGGAAGCAGCTAGAACAGTAAATAAACACAGCGGCACGCAAAGAGGCATCCGGCCACAGACAGTCCCCACCAATGCACAGCCACCAACACAAAGCCGCGCGGACACAATCGCGCCACTGACGCCATCGCCCTCCCTCCGCCCACGCAGCCCCACACAGCCCCAGCAGCGAGCGGCAGGATCCAGGAAAGGGGGCACGTGACCATTGGCACTGCTCTTAAGACCAAATGGCCCCTTCACAGTGCGGTCCCGATGCCGTGGACGACAAAAAAGGGCCGAGATAGGCACACATATGGCGGCGTTGCAACCGCCATCCACAGTGCACGTCCAAGGAAGTGGCGAGTGCGTCTGTTGCCAGCAGTCAGCGCGTCGTTCCCCGTTCACGTGGGTCGGCGATGCTAAACAAACGGCGGCATCATACGCGCACGGCATACACTGGGAGAAAAGGAAAAAGCACGGCGGCAGTACTCAGATACGGGGGACAAGGGTCCACATTGATTGCACAGTCCAATTGGCTCATAGAAGTCCGGATGGTGGTCACGCCGCTGCCGCACGGTGCCTGTGGCCTGTGGCTTCTGTGGAACGAGGGAATGATGAGAGGGAATATGGAGGTGATGCGGTCCTCATCCATCTCGGTTGATTGTGACGCCAGCAACGCCCTCTTTTCAGACCACCCGCAACAAAGACCGTCACCGTCAGCAGCGGTCGGTGCCTTCCTTCTCCACGAGGCGCCGCTCCACCCACGCCGTCACGCGCATCCTCCATCAAAAACACAACGGGGATCGGCAGCCACACGCAACCGCCAGCACCGAGTGCGAGAGAAGCAAACAACTACACTGCATATATCGTGTGGGTGTCGTTGTGTGTGGCTGCCTACGGTCACGAAAGAAAAAAAAGCATCTGAGGGCACACAACCACAGCGGGGCGTCAAAAAACAAAAAACCGGATAAACGGTGAAACGCAACACTGCACGGCCGCCCACGCCGTGGCAAGTCGCAGGAAATATGCTGAAAAGTAAAAAAAAAAACAAAGATAAATCCGTCTTCCATTATGCATTTACTCAAAAACAAAAAAACTGCACGTTGGTGCATTTGTCTTGCCTGCAGATAAAAAATAAATAAATAAATAAGATACACTCTTTATAGCCGTTTAAATCCCCGGTGCCCACACATTATTTATACTCCACTGGGACACTCGGCGTGGTTTCGTGTCCCCATTCCATTGTCTGTTTTATTAGCCGGCGCCATCGGCGTGGCACACAGTGCCGAGAGCGCCCATGATCAATTAAAAAAAAGGGAGGGGAAGAAACACTGAGTAGATCCCGTAATTGTCGGACCACAAAAAAAAAAAAAAACACAAAAACCAACACGAAAAACGCGGTGCTGGGGAGAGCATGCTTCCACATGGAGGAAGAGCTCTGCGCAGCGAAGGGGATGTAAAATAAAATTAAAACCAGATAAAATAAACGGTGCATCCGCAGAAAGTGGCAATTACTTAAAAGAGTGCGTGGACAGACGCATATGTTACCGCTGGAAGCAGGAAGTCCTCACCGCGATTTCTCAGTAAAGGGCCACAATGCCGCACAGCAGCATCCGAGAGACGCCCCCACGCATGGAGCCGTCACCGTTTCCTTTTTTGGCGTCGCTTTTCTTGACCATTTTTAGTTCACCGACACTCAGTGGGCGGTTGTACAGAAAGACGTTCTTCACTGTCACGCTGCTGTTGATGTCTCCCTCGTCGCACCCAAAGTAGAAATGTGTGATTTCATGTCCCAGCGCCTCAAGTGTCGTTATACTCTGGGCTCCCCACAATCACACCATACACGTACACGGAGCCCTTGTTGCCGTCCTGCAGCATGAGCGCCACCTGGTATTCTCCCCAGCTCCCAAGTGGTGTTCGATGTCGTTTTCTTCCCATCAAACACCGTCTCCCACTTTTTATTCATGTTGTACGACAGCCCAATGATCTTCTTGCTGGCACCGTCCCCCAGATCCGCACCCAGCAGAGGAGTGCTCCCCTTCGCAACCTGCTGGATGGTCACCGTCGCCACAAGGGTGAAATCGTGGTTTACAAAGCTGTACTGTCTGTTATCCTCCCGGCTGTTCACGGGCCATGTTGCCATGGACCCAGGCCCCGTGAATTTGAAACCATTTTTGACCTTCGCTGCCTTCGTCACGGATGCATTCACGCAACGGTACTCGTCGTTCCACGTGTCGCCACCGGACGATGTATTGGACAGAAATCCAACCAGACCAGCCGTGGGTGTGGACGACTCGGAAAAGGAGGCGTCCAGCTGTGCCCAAGTATTGAGGACGGACTTGATCGTCTTCAGCTCATCAGTCAGGCGGGCAAGTGAAATGGCTGTGCTTTCATGGTCTCCCTTCGCTTGTAAAAGGTGCAATGCACCATCCGAGTACAGCAGGGTGTTGTCAAGCGTCTCACCCACATTATCCTCCACAATAAGCGGCCCAACATGAAACGTACGGTTGTTGTCCGTGACCCAAAGGTAGAGCGCATTGGGTTCACTCGCTTCCAAGGGATGGCTAGCTTTATGGGTGTACAGCATGACCTTCCTTCCCTCAATGATCGCGGTGATTAGGGCTCCAACACAGAAAGTTCTGTTCCAAGAAACTCCTGGTTTTGACTTGGTCCACACGCCTGGGAGTGTCCCGATGGCCTCCGTCCACGTTTTCCCCATGTCACGCGACTACAGACACCTTGCGGCCACTCCCACAAAGAGCAACCATGAGAAGCTTTCCATTCTCCCACTCGGCGATGCGGGGGTAAAAGCAGTCGGCAGGAGACATGCCCTTTGAGAGTGACCATTTTTCGCCGTCGAATAAGTGATCATGGAGAAAGGGCGATTTGTTCTATTCGTCGCCATCAGGGAAAACACAAGCGTGCCATTCCCCATCACGATGCCTGAGCCACCAGCAGCAACAAATTTCTTCAGGCCGCTTTTAATCTTTTGGGGGATCTGTGGTAACAACTATGTGGGTTCACCCCAGCTGATCGGTTTACTGTGCTGAATGTCCGTGGCCTGCGTGACCTCACCCACAACCAGTTGAATATCCCAGTCGTCCATCGCCCAATGCTCGAAAGAATCGTCGTACTTCTCTTCATAGCCTCCCACAAGTAAAAACACCTTATTGTCCTTCGCAATGGTTGTGGGCCAGTACCAAACGCTCACATGATCCTTGCCACTCCAACCGCCAAGGGTGGCTTGTGCCCTCCATTCCGTCTTAGCGATCTCAGCGACAATGGACGGCCACGTCCCCGCAGCATTGATGTACCCCGCCACAATATCAGAAGAATCGAGCCAACCCGATTTGTGGGTGTCATTATACTTGGTGCGGCCCCCGGCAACGGCAATCAGCACTCCACCAGTACTGACGAGAGACGGTGAGCAGAACGCAAATTTCACTCCACTTGCACACCCATTTTTTGCCAGCACCTGCGTCTTATTCGGAAAAAAAATATCGACCCATTGCTGCAGTTGCACTTCCACTGACTTACTCCCCACAGCCTCTACAGCTTCACAGAGGTCGCAGCACATCATCGCAACGATGAAAAGCACCGCAGAGGTAAACGCACGCCGGGACATCTTGGGCCTCTGCGGCTCACTCTCTCCTCCTTCCCTCCTCCTTCCGCTGGATCCGGTCACACAGCGACGGTTGTGTGTGCGGGGTGCCTGCACTGCAGCAACACGTGAGAGCATACAAATATGTGTGTGTGTGGGCGGTCGGTGTGCTGTTGGTCCTTTCAGAGCCTTCGAATTTCACAGTGGCGTTTAGCGCTAGTTTTCTTTCTTCGTAAGAGAGTGAAAGAAATGAATAAAAACAGGGTAATAAAATATGGGTGAAAGAATGAGCACCGCCATCCACAGTGAGTGGCGCCATCATCCCCGCCGCAGTCACTCCCAACAACAACAAATCACGCACACAGACACACGGAACGAGACGGAAGAACAGTGCACCGGGAACACACGGCGACTGCCACCACCAGCAGCAGCAGGAGTCACGGCGGGTGTGTCGTTATTCACGCGTCAGCACACACCGAGCAACACCCACACACAAAAACAAACAACCAGCGAGATGCAAAAGAGCACAACGGTCCTTTGCAGCACCGACGCGTTTCCGCCAGTCATTTTACTGCTGTATCCTCCAGCACACCCGCTCCTCAACCGCCATAGCCGCACATCACCCCAGACAGCCGGAGAATCCACCGCAGGCGTATGAACAGCTGGAGAAACACGTTGGCACGCAAAGCTGCTCGCCGCAAATCAATACACACTCATCCCGTAAACCGCCAATGCCACGCCACTCATCGACAGTACAAAAAGAAAAACACGCTCGCAGCACGGCAACACGACAAATAACAGGCTCCCGTCATACCTCCCCAAAAGGGCTACCACAGCCAAAATCGTGTGGAAAATGGCATGTGCTTGTGATTGTGTGATTGTCAATGCCTATAGATGCAGGGCAGCTGTGCGGCCCAAGAAAGTCCACAAACAACAAAAACAACGGCATAAAAAAAAAAAAACGGAGAACACACATACAAATTAGTCATACCATCACACACACACACACAGCCGCGGAATGGATGCACTCAACCACAACACAAGTAAAGCAATAAAAAAAAAGATAAAGCGTGGGACGACCAGCGCACACACTCTCATTGCTCCCGTAGAGCAAAACACACACAGGGAGAGAGAGAGAGGTCGCCCACTCAATGCAATAAAAACAAAACAGAAACAGTTACGGTGCTCCGCCCATGCAGCCAGGCAGGACGGCAGCGGTGCGTGTGCTGCAAAAGAGAGCACCAACGGGCTGCATGGGCGTGCATGCATATATACAGTGGGCACATTATGTGTGTGCTTCGTGGGGTGAGGTGAGGGCGAGAGTCCATGCAAGGGGACACACACACACAGAGAGAGAAGGACGAGTGTGTGTGCGGGCGGTGCACGGCTCTCTCACACTCACTCTCACGCGGCCACCACCGCAGCCGCAGCCGCACACGCAACAACAAGAAGAAGCAAAAGAGGGGAGGTGGTGTGGGAGACCGCGGTGCTGCCGTCACTGTCGCCAGGCTTCGTCGTATGATTTGTTTGAGTGGCGGTGGCGATTGTTACATTTGGATTTCCTGCACTCTGAGATTTCGTATTCTCCTCGCTGTTTGATGCGCCTTCAGCATCAGGAGCCGTGCTGAGCTGTATGGCGACCTCAGTGGATGGTGGGCTCAAATCATTCTTTGCCGGATTACTTTCCATTCCATCTTCAGGCTGCACAGCTGCAGCTGCCGCGGTGCTGTCGTCACTGCTCTGTGTATTCGTCGCATCAGTTGTGTTTGGAGTTACTGTCGTTGCTTTTGTATCTTCCCCAGTCCCTTCTGAGCCTTCGTCTCGGTGGCTTTGTGGTGTGGCCGTGGTCTCAGGCGACGGAACATTTTTTTCGCCTTCACTCGTGGTGTCTTCGCCACTCTGTTCGTGGGAATCAACACCTTCTTCTGGAGGTGATGGAAGATTTACTCCCGCAACACCCTCAGGAACTGTTTGCTCTCCGTTAACTGTTGTGAGTGGATTCCCTGCTGCAGGTGTATTTTCTTCGGTGTTCGTTCCTTCAACTTCAGGTTGCGTAGGATTGGCATTTGATTCCAGACTGCCGGAGGGAGAAATGCCCTTTGCAGATAAAATTGGCTGGCCTGTTTTCTTCCCACTGCCACTTAAAATCTTTTCCCTGGAATCTGAGCCTATTGCAATTGTTCCTCCTTGAACACTCTGCCTTTCATTAATTTTTTCTTTTTCCGCTTTTGTCTTTCCATTATCATCATCATCATCAGCTTCATGTATAACTACGGGAGTTAAATTTCCTTCTCCACCTGGTGCTCCACCTTGTAAGCCTTGGGAGCTTTCTGGAGAAGTTACAAGTCCTTTTGATTCCAGCGGAAGATCAGCACCACTCCCACGACCTGCTGTCTCCTCACCAAAACCACCGCCGGCACCGCACCACAGCACGCAGAGGGCACACACCAGCAGCACACGGCCAGCCATCATCATCGCCATCACTCCTGTCACTTGCGTGCAGCCTTCAGCACAAACTAACAACACGTCAACGCAGAGTGAAAGCAAAAACAAAAGAAACAATTCACACAGCCATCCTAGCAGCAGCAGCACGCATTTCATGAGAAACAGTAAACCAATAAACGTCAAAAAATGCACAGCGCGCCGTAAATCAGAAATTAAAGTAAGAATAAATAAAAACTGGGTTAATAGTCCGGCAGTAACACCGGAAAGGATGAAGAAAATAGATTAGGTCGCAATTTTATTTCATGTGCCATGCAACACAATATAGACGATCGTGTGTTTGTGTATACATCTTCCCCGCAAAAATAGCAGAAAATAATATGATAAAAAAAGAAAAGATCTTGCTGCTCCACCAGCCCACACAAAATCCCTTATAATTCATCCGGCATCCGGCGTGTTCCTTCAGTCCTCGTACGTGCAGTCCGTGGCACGCACAGCAGTGAGGCCGACACAGCGACTGGACAGGAAAGAAAACAAGATGGAAAAAACGTCACTCATAATGATGTGTAGAGCAGTCAAACAGCCATTGGGAAAACACAAAGATAATTATTATTCCAATAAAACGCAAGCAGCAAAAGAAAGAAAAAAAATAATTAAAATGAGGTCCTTTACAACATTCTTTAAGCCCCAGCGATGAAGTCGCACCTTTTCGCGGTGCTGGGGCTCTGGCTGCGTATAGGAACTCCGCTGCTGTGCATTGCTGCGAGCACGACGGAGACCAAGACGACTCCACCCCTCGAGAAGGTTCCACGCCATGCCCGGTGCGGGGAGGTGAAGCGGTCTGCCTGCAGACTGTCGGGCAAAACTGCACGGCCGTTTCGCTGCGGCCACTCCGTTGATGTCACCCGTGGCGGTGAAGTCCACAAGAACCATGGCACCGAGGAGGATGGCTACATCACTAATTGGCAGCTCAACATTGCAGGCCTCTCGTCCGCAAAAAAGATTGCATCTGCTGCGCGACTGGAGCAGCGTCCACCTGACATCGTTCTTCTCCAGGAAACAAATACTCGAATTGCCACAGCGGCAAAACTAACCGGCCATAATAGCTTTCTTCAGGCCGCACTGGGCGCGGTGGTGGCGTTGCTGTTCCGGTGCGCCACTCTCTGCCGTGCGAGCGCCTGACGCTCCCTGGCACAGACCTCCTGGAGACCATTGCTCTCCGTGCAACTCCACAGGGATTTCCCAGCATCTGCGCGGTGAATCTCTACAGCCCTCGCACAGCAACCGTTCAGAGCTCTTCGTTTATTACTGCCATTCGTCGCTCAGGCCCGCAGCGATGATCGCGGGCGAACTGAATTTACATCATGGACTCTGGGACAGTCATACACCTTCAACGACCGGAGGAGAGGATTTGTCCTCTACTCTAATTGACATGGATTTCGAGCTGGCAAATGACCCGGCGCAGGCAACGCGGATCACAAATCGTAATGTCTCATTCCCTGACGTGGCTGCGTATCGCGTACTGCGTGTCACCCACTGGACATTCGCCCCCTACATGGACTCGGACCACTGCTTAATATCTTACTCGGTGGGGATGGATGATGGCGCTCCGCGACTAGCCAACACGCTGCCTCGGCGGGAGAAAGCCACTTTTGCCCTGCGCAAAGCGGACTGGCCTGCTTTTACATCGTTGTGTGAAACACTCCTTGCCGCCGCGTCCACATGTCTGGAAATTCGCAGTGGTATCTTACGAGCAGCTGAGCGCCATATCCCGCGCGGCAGCCGCGACAGCCCAAAACAATCTGGACGAACGAAATGGAACAAGCCGAGCCCGCCGCCGAAGCAGCACACAAAGCACACACGTCGCCTCGCCAGGAGACAGCCTGCTTCGAGCCGAATTCATCCAAAAAGTGGAGGACTAAAATCAAACATTACGCCGTAGCTTCGCTATGCTTCTGGAAGCCCGCGCGGAAAAAATTGGGGCCTCATCCAGCCCGAGCTGGCGATATCTCCGCGGCGTGGCGGCGCCGCACCCTCATCCCCTGGAATCGGTGGTGCTCCGAACTGATCCTCGGACCGCGTCTGTGCTCTGCCTCGGCAACAGGCAAATCTGCTTGTTCGTCATTTTGTGCGGTTTCACGTGCCACATTACATTATACTGCTGCTGCTGCTGCTCGCTGCACTCCTTTGTTTCCTGGTGACTGGGAAATGGATCGGCCTCTCACGCCGTATGTACCTGACGTGGCCATCCGTAACTCTTCGCTCGGCTCAGCCCCTGACCACGACAACATGTCGAATGAGTTCATGCACCATCTCGGGCCCGTTGCGCGCGGCACTCTTAGAACGATGATCCACAACTCCTTCGCAAATGGCAGTCTGCCTGGCTCCTGGAATACGGTGGACACCATTCCCATTCCCCAACCTGGGAAGGATCCATGCCGCCCAGAGAGTTACAGACCTATCACGCTGCTCTCTGTGTTACTAAACCGAAAGAATGATTCACCGCCGTCTATCAGCGTTATTGCCGCACCACCCACGTCAATTTGGCTTTACACCTTCGCGTTCAACATCGGACGTGATAACAATTGTTATTGGTAAAATTACCGTGGATTGAATGAGTCCAGCGCTGTGGAGTATGAGAGTCCTGGAGGTAGCGCCCCACACGACGCCCTCGTCACCATCGCTCGCTCGTAGCATTGATTGATTTTCCGACTGCGTTCGACACCATTGACAATGGGAATTTATTCGGCATGCTTGACAGACTCCCGCGCCTTGGCCTCAAACCAAACGCTGGCTGCATAACTACCTGCGGGGCCGCTAT